CCGCGTCTCCCCCCCCCCCCCATTGTACACAGTGTTAAAATTTTAAAGCTTATTCTTGAGCCAATACAAATTCTTTCCTAGGATCACTCAAAATAAATACTTCTAAACATGTAAATATGCATCAGTACGGTACACGTTATACATAGGCCTAATAAAACACATAGGCCTAAATCCATAAATCTCAGACCAGATCTTTTAAGATAGAAATGCGATACTATGGTTCAATTTCGTTTTTATCATTTTGCAAGTTTCTTTTTTTTAATAATACTACTACAAATAGTAGTAATAATAATAATAACAATGATGATGATGACGATAGTAATAATTGATAATAATAGTAATAGCAATAAAAAGTAAAGAAAATTGTGCTAATGCGAAAAAAAGTTTGTTGATCATAATTATTATAGTATATACAGTTAAAGCTTAGTAATCTATAGTTAAGCCTAAGTTGTCCTGAATATTAAGTAGATCCTTGATAAAAGATCATGAGAAATTTTTTGGCGTTTCATTTTGACTATAATGGTGATGTGATGATGATGAATTTTACTATATAAAAGTGTCATTTCCGGACATCTCGGAGAGGTACTATTTCCTCAAATTTTCTCACCTTAGCCCCAACCATGGTGGGGCTGAGGTGGTTGTGAAATCACGTTTTTGAAGTAGGCCTATGTAATGTACATACTCAAAGACAATGTTTTTAAGCTTTGTTTTCTATATGGTATATCATGTCATTTCCGGACATCTCGGAGAGGTACTATTTCCTCAAATTTTCTCACCTTAGCCCCAACCATGGTGGGGCTGAGGTGGTTGTGAAATCACTCTTTTGAAGTAGGCCTATGTAATGTACATACTCAAAGACAATGTTTTTAAGCTTTGTTTTCTATATGGTATATCACAAACTATTAAATCTCTATTTTTGTCAAAGCTTCCTGATAAAAGATCATGAGAATTTTTGTTGGCGCTTCATTTTGACTAATGGTGATGTGACTATATAAAAGTGTCATTTCCGGCCATCTCGAGAGGTACTATTTCCTCAAATTTTCTCACCTCAGCCCCAGCCATGGTGGGGCTGAGGTGGTTTTGAAATCACGTTTTTGTAGTAGGCCTATGTAATGTACATACTCAAAGACAATGTTTTTAAGCTTTGTTTTCTATATGGTATATCACACACACATTAATAAATTAATAAGATCTCTATGGTTGTCAAAAATCCCATGATAAAAGATCATGAGAATTTTTGTTGGCGCTTCATTTTGACTAATGGTGATGTGATGATGATGAATTTTACTATTATAAAAGTGTCATTTCCGGCCGTCTCGAGAGGTACTATTTCCTCAAATTTTCTCACCTCAGCCCCAGCCATGGTGGGGCTGAGGTGGTTGCGAGATCACGTTTTTGAAGTAGGCCTATGTAATGTACATACTCAAAGACAATGTTTTTAAGCTTTGTTTTCTATATGGTATATCACACACACATTAATAAATTAATAAAATATCTATGGTTGTCAAAAATCCCTGATAAAAGATCATGAGAATTTTTGTTGGCGCTTCATTTTGACTACTGGTGATGTGATGATGATGAATTTTACTAAAAGTGTCATTTCTGGCCATCTAGAGATACTATTTCCTCAAATTTTGAGCCGGGTGTCGACTCACAAAATGCCCTCCACCTCCATCTTTCAAAACAGATCTGTGCCTTTCCCTGGGTATGACATTAAACTCCATCGAGTCGGCTCCTAATGTATGTCTTAGTGACTGCTGTTTGCTTTTAGGATGTGATCTCTTTTTTTCATGTCAGTTTTTCGTGATTATGACTATTTTGGATAAAGAATGTTTTGAGCAGAGGTGGATTCAATCATTTTTTAAGGAAAAAAAATATATATTCAAATTGAAGTGGAGAGTTTAATTTCTGGCCATCTAGAGATGCCCTAATCATAAATTTTCTTACCTCAGCCCCAACCATGGTGGGGCTGAGGTGGGTGGTTCCTCGGTCTGTGAAAGTCCCTCTCTCGTTCACCTCTCTTTCGAATTCCTGGATCTGCCACTGTTGATTTATTATATAATTAAAATTATTTTTGCGCTTATTTATAATGCGTCTATTGCAATTTTCACTTTATCCTCTCAAACAGTCTTAAGAACGTTTAGAGTGCGCTATTTCACAGGTACTTCAAGGGGGATTTGGCCCCTTTACCCCGACGAGGTCCTACGTAATTCGCATAACGGCTCCCCCTTTCAAAATCCTGGCTACGTCCCTGGCACGGTTTATGATGGTATCGAAATCAATATAACGATCGCGTGTGTTTCCAAGGTAATTCAACAGAAGGACGCACATCTCCGCTCTCGAACATAGCGCGTGCGTACAGTCCTTTGACCGATACTAGTTGCGAGTACAGCCGTCAATTATTAGTCTATGCGTGCCATTCGTTTTATGGTGTTAGTTTTTATTTTATTAATTTTGGGTACTTTGCACTGTGTCTGATCTTTTTTGATCGCGAGCTTGTTAAATGCTTCTATAAACTGCAATTTGATTTTTGAAAATTGACCAAGAAAATAAAAAGTTATAGCAATTTAAAATTTACGAATTTTATAAAATTTCATGTTCTTATGTAACATTAATCTGTCATTTTGACAATGTTGGCATAAGGTGCCGAAAACGAACA